GGCAGTGAGATTTCACAGGAATATCTTGGTGGAAAAAGTCTTCACCAGACTTGTAACTGTGAGAAATTTGGCAGCAACAACCAGAGAGTTGTTCACCATCAGGGTGCCTGCGCTGAAAAAATGAAATATGAGTGTGACAGACGTGGAAATGTTTTCAAACAAAACATTCATCTCATTCAACATAGAATAATTCACACTGGAGAAAAGCCCTATGAGTGTGCTGATTGTGGGAAGTCCTTTGGACAAAGGTCCAATTTCATTTCACACCACAGAGTTCACACTGGAGAAAAACCCTATGAGTGTACTGATTGTGGGAAATCTTTTAGGAGAAATAATAACCTCCTTAACCACAAGAGAGTTCACACTGGAGAAAAGCCCTATGAGTGTGCTGATTGCGGGAAATCTTTTACGAGAAATAATAACCTCCGAAACCACAGGACAGTTCACACTGGAGAAAAACCCTATGAGTGTACGGATTGTGGGAAATCTTTTAGGAGAAATAATAACCTCCTAAACCACAAGACAGTTCACACTGGAGAAAAACCCTATGAGTGTACTGATTGTGGAAAATCTTTTAGGAATAGTAGTACACTCCTTAACCACAAGACAGTTCACACTGGAGAAAAGCCATATGAGTGTACTGATTGTGGGAAGTTCTTCAAGAGAAGCTTACACCTCTCTGAACACAAGAGAATTCACAGTGGTGAAAAACCTTTTGAATGCAGTGATTGTGGGAAGTTCTTCCGACTAAAGGGGCACCTCATTAAACACCATAGAATTCATACAGGAGAGAAGCCGTATCAGTGTAGTGAGTGTGGAAAGTCCTTTAGACAAAGACGTTCGCTCATGGACCACCACACAAGTCACACTGGGGAAAAGCCGTACGAGTGTAATGAGTGTGGAAAGTCCTTTAGACAAAGACGTTCGCTCATGGACCACCACAGAAGTCACACTGGAGAAAAGCCTCATGGGTGTAGTACATGTGGGAAATGTTTTAGCAGCAAACCGAGCCTTGTCAGACATCTGAGAGTGCACATTGGGGAAAACCCTTTCATGTGAAGGGGATGTTTTATCTTCCTCACTCTACAACACTGCAGGAGACCTAAATCCGTTTACCTGAATATGAACGCCCTTTATCTGAACATACACTGTGTGAAATTGCTCATACGTTTGAGATACAAGTGAGGCCTGAAGGAGCTGCATTGCACTTGTTAACTCGCCGAGCACTCCTACCTCATTGATGTCCCTGGGAGTATTTGTGGCTGAAGTGACCTCCTCTACCACCTGGCTCACCTGAACAGTGTGCACCGGTCACCACCCCCGCATGCTCAGGGAATATGTATTCTGTGTTCTCCCTTGTGCTTAAGTGAATTATGAATACTCTGAGCTCTTGGCAGGATCTTCAATCCTTACTCTCTGACTAGGAAATGCACCTGACCCAGGTTTCATCCAGAGCCCCCATTCACAGCTAAGAAGTGCTGCCTCTTTCAGGGACATTGTGGTTCTCACCTTCTGCTGTGATAAATTGTTATAAACTGATTGCTGTACATGCTCTGGTATATGGTGTTTTTGTGATTGTGATTTTGCTTTTGTACCTTTAGTTTTGTTGGTTCTGTCCACTGTCTGGGTTAATTTGAAAGTACAATTTGCGATCTGTCAGCATGTAGAGTTAACAGATATTGTGAGATCTCAAACTCTCTGTGCTTCAGAAAGGATACCTTGATGGCAGAAAAGCCTTCTCTGTCCATTTTTCTTATCATTACAACCCAAGGCCTTGAAATAAAGACCGCATGACTTTGTGGTTGTATTTTGCAGGTTTGATCCCTAGCCCACCATTTTGGCTGGTGTGGGAGGCATCCAGTCATTGTGTTTCTCTCTCTCTCTCATTCCCCTCCCACTCTCTCTCTAAAAAAAAAGATTATCTACCCTTTTCCCTTCTCGCTAAGATGAGGCTCGGCCTGCACAGCCCACCATCCCTTATTGTTTCCTGCCTTTGCCTGGGATGTTCCCCCTGCAGCTGGGCACGCTGTGTCCTGCCCAGGAGCTGGCAGAGAGGAGCCCAAGGCAGGTCCTCTCTTGGGAGGGATTGGGGTTCTGTGTCCGCCTGAGAGGAGCTTCCAGGGCTCTGCTGTCTCCATCCAGAGTCTCTCCAACCTGCTTTCCCATCCCCAGGCCCCTGGCCTGCTGGATCTGAATCTACTTTATCTGGGAGAAGCCCCCTGGTGCTTTGGGCCCCAAATGAGTTCACCTTATGAAAAGTCTTCCTCTGGCAAGCCCACATACACCCCTGAGACCCACTGGTGTTCTTTGAATCTATTTTTGCATTTGGGGGGTAATTTTCTACTTTGACTTTATTAAAAAATAAAGCACCATCCTCCTCACCTTCACTTCCCTGCAGTCCTAGATGTCACATGGGTTTTCCAGGAATTGGTTCTGTGTATTTTCAGTGCTGAGAACATTCTGCAATGCAACCGTTCACAGCAGGACAGGGTTGGTCTCAACATGATACCACACTGGGGGGTGCATTCTGGTTGGTGTGCCCACCTCGCTAATTCGGGCCTGTGCAGAGCAGACCCTTCCCTGTAGTCAGGTGATGGACCCTGGGCTCTGGGGGACAGTGTGATGCTGGGGTGTGTGGTTTTTGGAGTTGTGAGGTTGGGGGCCTTGGACAGGTTGGTGAGGGAGTTTCCTACCGGCACATGGGGCAGGGTCCTTGAGCGGGAGGACTGAGGGGTAGCTCTAGTGATGAGAACTTTTATCAGGCTGGATGGTTGTTCTAGTGAAGGATAGCTCACAAGCAAGGTGGCAGGGTAGCTGTGGCAGGTGATAGGCGCTCAGGGGAAAAGAGAGGCCAGGGGTGGTCAGTGTTGTCTCTCTGAGAAAGTGTGGGAAGGGGCGACAGACTCCAGATGGCAGCCTGTGGGGAGCCTGCCCTGAGCATTTCAGAAGTCACATTGGATGGTGTGGACAACCAGGAACAGAACATTTGCAATGGTCAGAGAGTGACTGGGATCCTACTGCCACATGCTAGGCTAGATTGCTAATTTACCCAAAGGGCCATGCACTAAGGATGACTGGGCTTAGCCAATGAGAGCCCAGGAGAGGGGCATTATCCCTGTGCTCACTGGTTGGAGCTTGACGTCCAGCGTCTTTCGCCTGGTGGTGAATTTGGCCTTTGCAGTGTGTTCACAGCATCAGAGGCTCCAGTGCTGGGTCACCTGGCATCAGAGCAGCGTCCCTGCTGGGCAGGGTGTCTCTGAGGCTGGCTGAGTCACAACAGGCCGTGACTGGGTCCTCCGTGCCTCCCCGACGCCTCTCTGCTTCCAGAGTTCAACCGGCCTCACCTCATTCGCCCTCCCGCCTGGGGGGTGGGTGCCTGTCCCGCCTGCAGCCCAGGTCTCAGCGCCCGAACAGTGAGTGCCTTGAGGGTGCCACATGGTGGGAGAGGGTGACAAGCTGAAAAGCCACCGTGTGAGGCAGTGGGGTGTGACTGAGGAGGGAGGATGGGGGAAACCCAGGTCCGTCTTATCCCGAAAGGCAACAAAGATGAAGCAAAGTTTTGTGTGAGTTTTCCTTTCATTTTCAGGAAGCTGCTGCCATCCATGGCTGTGAACAAAGAGGGACATAGTGAGTTAGGGTTCTAGTCTTTTCTCAAAACTGCTCCGAGGAAGAACAGACTAGAAGGGAGAGGCCAGCAGGAGGGTGGGAAGGAGGACCTTGTAGGTGATGAGGTCACTGGCAGGTGCGCACTGGACTGAGCCCCGAGGGATTCGGGCATCACCCGGCCCCGGGGCATGGCCAGGGCCCTGAGCAGCTGGAGCCCCTGGATCCTGGGGTGGGTGCCAGGCCCTCACAGCCCTTTACTTCCCACAGGTTCCTGCAGGTGCAGAGCCATTGAGGGGACTGGGCTGTGGAGGTGACTTAAGGGCCTCACCCTCTTGTGGCCTCTGAGGTCATGGTGCCCATGGGGCCGTCGGCCCCTCCTCCTGCCCTGGGCTCTGGGGACACTCAGCCCAGAAACCTGAGTCATGTGGGTGTGGACACTGAGGGCGCCAGCTCCCTTCATGCAGGGGCTGGGTGGCCTCCTCTGGCGGGAAGCCTTGGATGGGCAGCTGAGCTGGGCAGAGGGTTAGCACCTGGCAACACAAGGTCCTGGCAAAGGTCAGGCTCCGACCCGCCTCGCGCCCTGGGCCCCCTCCCAGGCCCCGCCTCGGCAGCAGCCAGGAGATCACCCAGCTCCAACCCCGCCGCGGGCCTGGACACCTGCCGGCCCTTCCCTCCCATAAAAACTCTTTGCGTTGATTTGAGAGAGAAGAAGGGGAGGAGAGATGAAACCACTGGCGATGGGGGCGGGTCACTGGTTGGCTGTCCCCCTCGCGGCCGCCGCCCGCTGGACACTGTTCCTGCGCCCCGTGCACGGGCCTGACCAGCGATGGAACCTGCTCTCCCGGTTCCTCGCTCAGCGTCCACCACTGAGCAGCGCCTGCTGAGCCCTATTGTATATTTTTAATAAAATGTAATGTGTATTTTTATTGTCGATGGTGTTGAGATGTCTCCCATTCCCTGTGCATATGTTCTTTGGGGGGTCTCTCCCCGTCCCCCCTCCCCTGGGGGGGGGCCTGTCGGTCTGTCCCCGTGAACCCGGCCTCCGGTCCCATCTCCTCCCCCAGCGCCCCTGGCAGCGCCAAGTCACCTTCACTCCCCAAGGTCACAGCCAGGGCTGCGGGAGAAAACTACATCACCCAGAAACCACTGCGCCGGCTTCCGCTGAGATAGGCGCGTTTCGGGTCCTGCACTTTCAGTTAGGGCGGGACTTCCGGTATCGTCCTCGGGGCGGACTTTGTGAGTTGTGGCTTCCGGTAACGGACCTGAAGGATTCAGCGCGCGGCTGAGCGTTGGTGGCGCGAAGGAGGAGGCGGGGGAGGCAGCGTCCCCGCTGCGCAGGGCGGGCCTGAGGCCGGTTGAGCCCCAACACCCGGGATTGGGGTCCCCGAGGCTCCCCGACTCCTCTCCGCCGACAGAGGCCCCTCGGCCTCACCCCATTGGACCCTCCAGCCTCGGGGCCGGCGCGGCTCGGGTCCCGCCGCCCAGGGCGCAGCGTCCAGCGCAGTGAGTCCCCGTGGGGCCCCGGGGTGTGAGGGGAGGGCGGGCGCCGGGGCCGTGGGTGGTTGTGAGGGAGCTTGTGTGAGGCGGGGTTCCCAGGAAGAACAGTCTAGAAGGGAGAGGCCAGCAGGAAGGGCAGGACGGAGGACCCTGTAGGTGATGAGGTCACTGGCAGGTGCGCACTGGACTGAGCCCCGAGGGAGGCGGGCATCACCCGCCCGGGGCTGGGCCAGGGCCCTGAGCAGCCGGAGCCCCTGGGTCCTGGGGTGGGTGCCCGGCCCTCAGCCCTTTCGTTCCCGCCGGTTCCTGCGGGGGCAGAGCCGCTGGGGGACGGGGCTGGGGGCTCCTGTCAGGGCCTCACTCTCTGGTGGCCTCTGAGGTCGTGGGGTCCTGGGCTGTCGGCCCCTCTTCTCGGGGGACCTTGGACCTGGGGACCTTGAAGGGACACTCAGCCCAGAGCCCTAAGTCCAGGTCAAGGGTCAGATGAGTGGCAGCTGATCTTGGCAGCCAGTGGAATTCTGAGTGACAGGTCCTTCCGTGCTCGGGCTCCAGAATGTGCAAAGGCTTGGAGCGAAGACTACGCTGATTCAGGGACGAGCAGGGGTCCATTTTTTAAAAATAGAAACTGGAAACAGTTGGACAGGAACCAAGTGCAGAGGAGCTTTGTGACCACTTGGGTTTCTGTTCTGCTGGTGGTGGGGTCATTGGGATCACGGGAGCCGTAGAGCAGGTGACCTGTCCCAGGTCCCATTAGACTCCCTGTGGCTGCAGCCTGATGCACAGGATGGGTGTGAGGACGGAGGTAGGAGGCCCAGGACGGAGGCTGCTGTGATAGTGCTGGTGAGTGTGAGGGTACCTGGAGCACAGTGGTGGTTGTGTGTGTGGAAGAAGCAGTTGCATATGGATCAGGGTTATAGCTGTGGCCACCTGCATTTCCTAATTTTGAGGACTGGAGAGAGAGGTAAGAATCAGAGATGATATGAAGGTTTGGATTTAGCAGCTGATGGTATGAAAGCACCATCAACTGAGATGGGGAAATTCATAGTGGGAATAGTAATGTCCATGAGGAACATAAAATCTTTTATGTTTTCCTGTTAAGTTATGAGGTATTTCAGAGACCAGTCAATGACCATCTGGAACTGTGACAAGGAGTTCAAGATGAAAACTACTTAAAAAAAATAGTAGAGAGTATGGTCCAGAGAGGATTTCTGGATCACTGCTGTTTTTATTATTGGAGGTAGAAGAGTAATTCCAAAAAGGTGAGACTGTGGCTGGTGCATATTTACTTTTTAAACACTCACCAGGATTTCTCGTGACCCTTTGTGTAGCCTGGTGTGTTGCATCCGGTTTGATTGATTTGCCTCTGGGCATGAGTGGGCATCTGTGAGACACACTCGGCAAGGGGTAGAGGGCCATAGGCTGTGAGTGGAGAAGGGACATCAAGTGCAGCAGCAGTAGGGGTGGGCTCTGGGTAACTGAGATCTCATGTGGTTCTCAATCGGTGAGGTTGAAGGAAAAAGCAAGTTGGGAGGGAGGCCTTCATAGCAGAACTGAAGGCAGTGCCTTGAGTGTGGGCAATGAGAGTCAGGTTAGTACTTGATACTGGTTGAACTTGCCATGCAATCTCTGGAACACACATGCTGAGTAATGACTAAGACCAAGGAGATGTCTGTGGGAGCTGGGGCCATAGCACTGAAGGTGTGAGAGAGGGGTGGGAAGAGGAGTGATGGCCCTTGGAGAGGGAGTGTGAATTCCTGGCCACACATCCTTGATGTTGACATAGAAGGAATGAAGGTTGAGTCCATTTCTGGTGATAACTGGATGATATATCATGGGGAGTTTTAGGGTAATTCCTGAAAAGATGGGTGTTGTGGCGCTTCATGCCAGCTGCAGAATTTAGGTGTCATATAGGTGCACACCTGCCTCTTGTTGTTTGGCGGGTACAGTGATCAATGGGAATGGGATAGCAGACATCAGTGTCACCTGGGCTTGAAAATCTCTACTGGCTTGGGGATGGGAGAAGAGTAAGAGAGAAATACATACAGAGGAGGTGAGTTAGAATGTTGAAAAGAAGGTGATTAGATAACATCCCTTCCTCTTGATGGCATACATGTGTTGTCTTTAAAGTTGTGACTCTGGGAATGAAGCTGTAGGAGAGAGGTGGGATAGGAAGAATTATGTGGAACAGGTAGGACAAAGTGTTGGCCTCAGCACACTAGGACTGGAATCGAAAGGGTGACGAGTGATGCCATGTTTTTCAGGGTCTTGGAGAATGTGTGGGACCACAAGGATATTGCCCCAGTACTGTGGTTGGAAAACTGCAGCCCATGAGCCACATATGACTCTTATGCCCCTTGAGTGTGGCTTTTCCACAAAACACCACATACGGGGAATACAGTGCGATTGAATCTTCGTGGCCCCTGCCCAGAAGTCAGTTTTCAAGAAGTACTTGTTGCCGAAACCGGTTTGGCTCTGTGGATAGAGTGTCGGCCTGCGGACTGAAAGGTCCCAGGTTCGATTCCGGTCAAGGGCATGTACCTGGGTTGCTGGCACATCCCCAGTGGGAGATGTGCAGGAGGCAGCTGATCGATGTTTCTCCCTCATCAATGTTTCTAACTCTATATCTCTCCCTTCCTCTCTGTAAAAAATCAATAAAATATATTTAAAAAAAAAAAAAAAAAAAAAAAAGAAGTACTTGTTGATATTTGGCTGTGTTGACTAATGAGTTTGCTCACCACTGCCCCCAGAAGACCAGTGTCAGATCACTCACATCTCTCTTCATGGTAAACATTTATCTGTGCCCTGTGTTGGTGACACCCATAGTGTTGACCCTAAATGTGAGGCCCTGAGGTCAGGTATAATCAATCTGGGCATCTGCTCTATTGCTGTGGGAAGACACAGTATCAGTAGGAATATAAGAAGCGAGTGACTCTGTTGAATGCAAGACCTGCTATTTTCTGTGATAGGGGAGTGGAGGGAGGAGATGGATATGGAGAGTGGGAAGTATGACGAAATTGAAGCCTAGGAGAGAAGCTGATCATGGACTGAACTGTCCTCCTTATGACAGGATATGAACTTTGAGGACGTGGCCATTGCCTTCTCTCAGGAGGAATGGGGGCTCCTTGATGAGGCTCAGAGACTTCTGTATTGTGATGTGATGCTGGAAGTGTTTGCACTTGTCTCATCTGTAGGTAAGACCTTCTCATATGTTCTAGTGTTCCCATGTGATGTCCTTTCTTCCTTTATTCTCAAAACATAGCTTTCTCTCTCCCTCAGCCAGACAGCCAGACAGCCAGACCTAGCGTTCTGCTGATTTCTGCCTCTGTCTTTTCAAACATGCTGTGGCTGCCTATGCTGAGCTGTGTGGAGGGTCTTGACCAATGGACTCCATGAACATCCCTGACATGTTGCCCCAAAAAGTGCAGAAAGTGTCTTGGAGACTTACAGCCAACTTAATGGGTCTCATCTTCCTCTTCATCTCCCTGGGAGGGTGACAATATGTACATTTATTCACTTCTTCCCCCTTCCTCTAGGGAAAGGTGCTTTATGACAGCCTGTGCCAGGTTATGTTCTTCACTTACATGAACCATGGGCTACTCTTGTTAGACGCTTCTCCAGTTGTTGTTTGTAATATTACCTTAGCTGAGTACTATTATGGGCCTAATTGCTCTGAGCCAGAGCTGGCTGCTCTCCTCCGTTGTCTTTCATTAATACTTGGAATATTTAGGGTTTATGCATTGGTAGAGTAGAAGATCAGGGAGAAGCCTGGTTATCTCAGAGGGTGAATATGCAAGATGGTGTCAGAATTGGTCTGGCCCTGCTGAGTGACAACTGGGGGGAAGGTATGACATAATGGTGATGGTCAGATGGTACCAGAAACCAGTGAATTTCCAACAGTGTTTTGTGGCAGGTGACACTGGCTACTCCCCATTTTTACCCTCTCTTTCCTATACTTGACACTTTACTGACTTCCATTTCATCTGTGACTTCCTAGCATTTGGCACCTTCATTTTTGTTATTTTTTTGCATGACCTGTCCCTCTGCATTGCTCCCTGTGCAATATTCTCCTACATGTACCTGCCCATGTGTTATGAGGTACACATACATGCTTAAGTGCTCAAACATGTGGTACTTCTTAATTGGATTTGCTTGGAATAAGACATAACCAACCTTCCACACAACTTGCCCAGCTTGTCATCAGCAGACCAGCCCTGCTGAGCACTGTTAACAGAGAACTGAGTGGGGAGCATCTTCTCTTCACATTGTCCTTGCCATGTGTGTGTCATGTTTCTGATGAGGTCTTCCCTGTTTAGTCACCTTCAGAGGCCAGACCTTCACAGCAGCTTCTTATTAATCCTTCCTGCACATCTCTTATTTTCAGACAATTGCATAGAACCCATGTATTATGTGCAAAACACTTTACCAATGGAACTTCCCCTGTCACCACCCTCAACAATCAGTTCCTCCTCAATTCTCTCTTTTCAGGTTGTTGGCATAAAACGTATGATGAGGACTTCTGTCCTGAGCGGAGAATATCTGTTCAAGGAGAATCACAGGTCAGGGCTTCTGAGACAGCTCCAGCAACCCAGAGGACCCTTCTGTGTAACCAGTGTGTCTCAGTGTTAAAAAATATTGTGCACCTGACTGAGTCACAAGCAGCAGACTATGAGCAGAAAGCCTTCTTCAGTGACGCATGTGTGAGAGACTTCTGTTTCAATGTAAACTCTCACCAGCAACAGAGGGATTCCACTAGAGAGAAACTCTGGAAAGAAGACATGGACAGGGTCTCGTTTGTGACCAGGTGCAGCTTCTACTTAACTTGGGTGCCTTCTAGCAGTAGGGAGGTTGGGAAAGTATTCCCAGCCATCTCAGAGCTTCTCCAGCACCAGGCCCCTCTCAACACTGAGGACCTACACGGCGGCAGTGAGATTTCACAGGAATATCTTGGTGGAAAGAGTTTTCAGCAGACTTGTAACTGTGAAAACTTTGGCAGCCAAAGCCAGAAAGTTGTTCAGCATCAGGGGGCGTGCTCTAGAGAAGTGAAATATGAGTGTGACAAATGTGGGAAAGTTTTTAAACGAATCTTTCACCTCATTCGACATGGAAAGGTTCACACAAAAGAAAAGCCCTACGAGTGTATTGATTGTGGGAAGTCCTTTGGACAAAGGTCCGACCTCTTTTCACACCGCAGAGTTCACACTGGAGAGAAGCCGTATGAGTGTAGTGATTGTGGAAAGTCCTTCAGGCAAAGTTCTCACATCACTGAGCACCGCTGTTTTCACACTGGAGAAAAACCCTATGAGTGTACTGATTGTGGGAAATCTTTTAGGAGAAATAGTAAGCTCCTTATCCACAAGAGAGTTCACACTGGAGAAAAGCCCCATCAATGTACTGATTGTGGGAAGTCCTTTGCGAGAAGCTGTCACCTCTCTGAACACAAGAGAATTCACAGTGGCAACAAACCTTTTGAATGTAGTGATTGTGGGAAGTTCTTTACACGAAAGGGGAACCTCATTCAACATCATAGAGTTCATACCGGAGAAAAGCCATATGAATGTAGTGATTGTGGAAAGTCCTTTAGACAAATACGTTCTCTCATGGAGCACCACAGAAGTCACACTGGAGAAAGGCCCCATGAGTGTTATAAATGTGGGGAATGTTTTAGATGGAAACCTAGCCTTGTTAGACATCTGAGAGCTCACACTGGAGAAAAGCCATATAAGTGTAGTGATTGTGGAAAGTCCTTCAGGCAAAGCTTTCAGCTCACAGAACACCACCATATTCACACTGGAGAAAAACCCTATGAGTGTCCTGATTGTGGGAAATCTTTTAGGAGCACTAATACTCTCCTTAACCACAAGAGAGTACACACTGGAGAAAAACCTTATGAGTGTACTGATTGTTGGAAGTCCTTCAGGAGAAGCTATGACCTCTCTGAACACAAGAGAATTCACACTGTCAAAAAACCTTTTGAATGTAGTGATTGTGGGAAGTTCTTTAGACGAAAGTCCAAGCTTATTGAACACCACAGAGTTCATACCGGAGAAAAGCCGTATGAGTGTAGTGAGTGTGGAAAGCGTTTTAGGCAAAGACGTTCGCTCACGGACCACCACAGAAGTCACACTGGAGAAAGGCCGTATGAGTGTAGTAAATGTGGGAAATGTTTTAGCAGCAAACTTAACCTTGTTAGACATCTGAGAGTTCACATTGGAGCAAAGCCTTAAATGTGCAGGGGAAGTTTTATCTTTCTCACTCTACAGCACTGCAGGAGACTTAAATCTATTTACCTGAGTATAAACTGCTTTTATCTGAACATACACTGTACAGAATTCCTCATAAGTTTGAGGTAGAAGTGAGGCCTGAAAGAGCTGCATTGCACTTGCTAACTTCCCAGCATTCCTGCCTCATTGATGTCACTGCGAGGAATTGTGGCTGAAGTGACCTCCTCTACCACCTGGCTCACCTGAACAGTGTGCACCGGTCACAACCCCTGCGTACTCAGGGAAAAGGAATTCTGTGTTCTTCCTTCTGCTTGAGAAGTTTATGAATACTTTCAGCTCTTGACTGTATCTTCATTCTTTTCTCTCTGACCAGAGAATTGAACTGACCTAGGTTTCATCCAGAGCACCCATCCTCAGCTAAGAAGTGCTACCTCTCACAGGGACATTGTGGTTCTCACATGCTGTGGGGAATTGTTTCAGGTTCCAATTCACCATCCTGCTGTCCTTTGCTCTGGTTTATGAACTTTTTTAAAGAGGTTTTTTTCTTTTGTACCTCTAATTCTGTTGGTTCTTTTAATTCCTTGGGATGATTGAAAGGAAAACAGTGCTTTGTCAGCATGGAGAGGTGAACAGATATGGTGGGTCCCAAACATTCTGTGCTTTGGTAGGCACAGCATGATATCAGAACAGCACTTGTTGTCCAATATTGGCCTATTTTATGTTGCTGAACAAGGCCCTGAGAGAAAGTGTGCATGACTTTGTGGTTCTAACTTGCAGCCTGGTGCCTCTATTATTGGTGGTGTCATGGTCACCCAGAAAAGGAGGCCTTTGTTGTGCCTCTGTGAACAATATGAAAAGTATTCTCTATTCACAGCATTTATTACATAATTCTTGGCAACGTTTCAGGGGATTCTTACCCACATACTGTAAAGGAGCCAGGTAACATAATATATAAAATTTCATAGGCTGATGCCATTGGTTTTAAGACACTGAGCATTAGAATGAACCACAATTAGGACAGAAACACTGTGTTCATAGAGAGTGGATAAGACTGGAGTAAATTACATGAAAAGTGCTTCTTCTCAATGTTATCCACAAATGGTCAGTGGACTGTGGCTTGTGTGATCTTCTTGTACAGACATTCTCAGGACCTCCATCACTGTCTCCTGTGGCTGAAGTAAATGGCAGAAAAAATAATGTAATAGTTGTTTGGATTCCCCTTACCCATCTAGGGTGTTCACTTCAGGGTTTGCTCAGCAGGCAAGACCTCCAAGCTAGAGGCAGGATAAGCCTGTAATCAGTCCCAGGATGTGTCTTTTGTGATTCCTTTTGATTCTGATGGCAATAGTCTTCACTGCTTGACAATATTTGCTGCCAGTAAGTAGACTTAAAGATGTCAATATGCAAAACTAAGAATTTATTCTCATTTTTAAAAATAAGTATTTTATATATCTTTAAAATAATTTGTTGGCTTTTTAGAAAGAGAGGGAAGGAGGCAGAGAATGAGAAATGGCGATATGGAAAAGATGCAGCTAACAGCTGCCTCCTGCCCGCCACCTACAGGGCATCCAGGCAGGAATGGAACCCGTGACTTTCAGGGCAAGGGATGGTGCCCAACCAACTGAGGCTCACTGGCAGGGAAAAGTTTGTTCCTGTAATATTATTATTGTATTAATTTCCATACCAACAACTCTACACCTACTTGTGGCACATCCTGCATTTTCCTACTGCCCTTTTGTAATCTCCCTTCCTGCCTTTCTTGGCCCTCCATGCAGTCATGGATTTTTCTTCTTTTTGAGTGGAATAGTTCATATTTTTCATAATTTTGTAAGCACTAGAAGGTGTGTAGTCTTTAACAAATACTGGTTTCCTCCATGCTACACAGTTATTTTCAGATTCAGCACTAATGTTTATGTGGATAGTTACGTTTTTTTTTTTACTGGGTAGTACTATGCTCTATGGTATCGAATTTATCTATTGGTCTAAGTTTTGGTTATTCCAGTTTTGGAGTTTTATAAATATTGTCTTCAGTTTCTATAGAGATGTATGTTTTACTTCTCAAACTATTGCAGTGTTGGTGAATGTTTTACATTTAAAATATGGGGAACTGTTTGCCTTCCCACTAACCCACGGTATATAAAAATTCCAGTTTTTCTGCTACGCTGCCAGCACATGCAGTGGTTAACCTTTTTAAATAGTAGCCCTGGAACCCATTTATGTAAGAAATTTTTATGGTGAGTGTTTTTCTCATGAGTTTATTTATACTGTCTTTATCTCTTTTGTTAAAATGTCAGCTCAGCATCTTTTAAAATTGTTTAAGCCGAAACCGGTTTGGCTCAGTGGATGGAGCGTCGGCCTGCGGACTGAAAGGTCCTAGGTTCGATTCCGGTCAAGGGCATGTACCTGGGTTGCGGGCACATCCCCAGTAGGAGATATGCAGGAGGTGGCTGATCGATGTTTCTCTCTCATCGATGTTTCTAACTCTCTATCTCTCTCCCTTCCTCTCTGTAAAAAATCAATAAAATATATTTTAAAAAAACAAACAATAAAATTGTTTAAATAAATTTATTATTTTAAGCTGAAGGGGTCCTGTGTAGCATCTAATACATATGTTTGAATTTCACTCATTCTTCAATGACTCCATGACTTATTTGCCTTTGGAACCATAGGTTTTGAATACTGGAAGCAAAATTGTTTTTCCACAAGTGTATTTATTTATTTATTTACTAGAGGCCTGGTGCACACAAATTTGTGCACTCGGGGGTCCGTCAGCCCAGCCTGTGCCCTCTCGCAGTCTGGGACCCTAGGGAGATTACCACCTGGTGGCTTAGGCCTGCTCCCTAGGGGAACGGGCCTAAGCTGGCAGTCAGACATCCCTCTGTCAGCCCAGGAGCCCTCGGGGGATGTCCACTTGCTAGCAGGGAGCAGGCCTAAGCTGCAGTCGGACATCCTAAGCACTGCTGAGGAGGCAGGAGAGGCTCCCAGCACCACCACTGTATTGGCAGCCGTCAACCTGGCTTGTGGCTGAGCCGAGCTCCCCCTGTGGGAGCATACTGACCACCTGGGGGCAGCTCCTGTATTGAGCATCTGCCCCCTAGTGGTCAGTGTGTGTCATAGTGACAAGTCATTCCCAGTCGTTCTGCTGTTAGGGTCAATTTGCATATTACCCTTTTATTATATAGGAGAGCATGGGTGAGGGGCTGATGGCTGTTTGCAGGTTGGTCAAGCCCACCAGCAGGGACCCTCACCCATGAAGGTGTGGCCAGCCTGAGTTGCTCATGGCTGTTTGCAGGTTGGCCACAGCCCCTTCAGGGTAGGGGCCCCCGCTGGGGTGCCTGGCCAGCCTGAGTGAGAGGCTCATAGCTGTTTTCAGGCTGGCTACAGCCCCTTCAGTGTGGGGGTCCCAACTGGGTTCCTGGCCATCCTGGGTGAGGGGCTGAGGGCCTTTTGCAGGCTATCCACAGCCCCTTCAGCGTGGGGGGTCCTGCTGGGGTGCCTGGCCAGTCTAAGTGAGGGGCTGAGGGCCGTTTTCATACTGGCTAAGCCCCCCACGGGGACCCTCACTGCCTCAGGGTGTAGCCAGCCTGTGTGAGGGGCTGATGGCTGTTTGCAGACTGCCCACAGTCCCTTCAGGGGGGGGTTCCCGCTGGGGTGCCTGGTCAGCCTGTGTGAGGGGCTGATGGCTGTTTGCAGGCTGGCCACAACCCACAGCCACCCAAGCTCCCAGTGGAGGCTGGCTGGAAGCTGGTATCTGGGATTTGTTTATCTTCTATAATTGAAACTTTGTTGCCTTTAGCGGCGGCCATAGCCGGCTCAGGGCTGGTGGGAAACTTGACTTCCTCCATCACTCGGGCAACCAAGCCTCCTGCTTGCTCCAGCTCTGTGGCTGCCAGCGCCATCTTGGATGGGTTAATTTGCATATAGTTGCTCTGATTGGCTGGTGGGCATGGCTTATGGTGTGGCAAAGGTGCGGTCAATTAGCATCTTTGTCTTTTATTAGTGTAGATTCATTCATTCCTTTATTTATAAAGAGCAGGATATTATTCACTTCGACAGGGAAGCACAAAACACAGCAGAGCCGAACCGGTTTGGCTCAGTGGGTAGAGCGTCGGCCTGTGGACTGAGGGGTCCCGGGTTCGATTCCGGTCGAGGGCATGTGCATGGGTTGCAGGCACATCCCCAGTGGGGGATGTGCAGGAGGCGGCTGATCGATGTTTCTCTCTCATTGATGTTTCTGGCTCTTTGTCTCTCTCCTTTCCTCTCTGTGGAGAATCAATAAAATATATTTAAAAAAAAAAGAAAAAGACAAAAACACAGCAGGAACATAATTTGTGTCTGCACTAGTGATATTGCTGGTGACCCGACCATAAATCACACTAATGCAGTAACAGAGCTGTGAGCCCAGAACTTACATCCAGATGGGGCCACTACTAGGTCCCCTTCAGCACCTTCCCGGGGTGCGCACAGTCTACGCCATGTGGTTATGTCATCCTCATTAATGCCGTCACTTCCGCAGCATTTCACCCGCGGCCTCCTGTGCTGGGTGTGAGGTGCTGGGCCGCTGGCGCTCATGCCTAGAGCTGCTTCAGCAGGAGGATCCTGAGCAGATCATGACTCCTCTGCAGTCTCTGGTCCCCCAGAGAGACCTCGGGAGCTGTCTCTAGTAGGGGCTCCAGACTCTTGTTGCCCATGAAGTGACCCGTGGCTCAGAGGTTGATCCGCAAGTGCATGCGGATTTTGCCAGCCTGGCTGCAGCACTTCCTGAGATCCCAGATGAGTGAGGCTGCGCTGTCAGTGAGCAGAGAGAAGAGCAGGACACAGACAAGCCATTGAGTGCCCTCTGCCCGGAGGGCCATCACTGTCTCCTGGCCGCACCACAGAGCTGCAAGCTTTCACAGCGGCTCCCTGTTTATTTTAAAATCTGTTTTTATTGCTTTTGGAGAGAGGAAGGAAGACTGATAGAGAGATAAAAACATGTGAGTGGGGGACATAATCCATTGGCTGCCTCTTGCAAGATTCACACTGGAGATCTGAGCTCGAAACCCAGGCATGTGCCCTCACCAGAATTTGAACCAACAACCCCTTGGTCCCTGGTTAGATGCTCAACAGCTGAGCTATACTGGCTGGGTGTGTTTTCTCAAATTTAATCCTAAAAGCCATTACATCCCATTTGTAAGATACATTATTAAGTTAATCTGCATTGCTAACATTCTTTTCTAAGTTTAAGGATTCAGTAGTACAATAAGACAAGGTTTGTAGTATTTGTCAATTTCCCTGGTGTAAATACTCTCATCGTGGTCAGTTTTAAAATGCCAAAATGATAGCACTGGTCATGGGCATGATAAGATATTTCAGTAGCACATCATGATGTTTTATTTCCAACACATTGATACAGTAGGAACAAATATGATCAAGAATATTCATAATAAAATAGTAAAATAATGGGAAGTAGCAAGTTTTAAACATTTAAAACTTTAAGTATAATTGACTTAAAATGTACATTTTAACTACATATGAATTTAAATACATTTTAATTGGTTTCAGAGAATAAGGCAGAGAAAAATAGAAAGTCACCGATGAGAGAGAACGATTTCAGAGAGAGAGGGAGAGGGAGAAAGAGAAACTACAATGATGAGAATCATTGATCAGCTGCCTCTTACCCGCCCCACAGTGGGGATGGAGCACACAACCTGGGCATGCATTCTGACCGGGGAATCAAACTGTGACCTTGCCGAAACTGGTGTGGCTCAGTGGATAGAGCGTTGGCCTGCGGACTGAAGGGTCCCGGGTTCGATTCCAGTCAAGGGCATGTACCTTGGTTGTGGGCACATCCCCAGTGGGGGGTGTGCAGGAGGCAGCTGATCGATGTTTCTCTCTCATCGATGTTTCTAACTATTTCTCTCCCTTCCTCTCTGTAAAAAATCAACAATAAAATATATTTAAATAAAACAAAACTGTGACCTCCTGGTTCACAGGTCGATGCTCAACCACTGAGCCACGCAAGCCGGGCTCTTCTAAGCTTTTAAGCTGACCTGCACCTGGGGCAGCACGGAGCAGCAGCAGCTCATCCGTGGCTGAGCCCCTGAACCTGCGCTCAAGGCCCCTTTTCTCTGATCGTTTAGAGAGCTAACCGCAGCCCCCTTGGCTCCCTCATTTCCCACAGTGCTCCTAGAGCCCTGGGAGCCCCGCCTAGTCTCTGCTGTTGCTTGTTCTATCCTAGGGCCTACATTTGTTTTCATTATCCCCAGCTTCAATAAACGTGCTGGAAATCTCCTGAATTCACGGTGTGAAATCTTTTCAGCATGAAGTCAAGAATCAAACACTACAGGCCAACCTGAGGCCGACCCGCTCCAGGCTGCTTCCTGTCCCCGAACACAGTTATGCCTGGCACACCCTCTAAAAACACAGGCACGGGCATGGTTTTGGTTACAAGGGTTGGGAGAAAAAGTGATGGCCGACACTCATTTTGGTTTTGTTGGGTCAATTTTAACACTTTTTTTTATATTGTTGACTATTACAGATTTCCTCCCATTTCTCTCCTCCCCCTTTGCCTCTGTCTACCTTCCACCACGACTTCTAGCCCCGCCCCCCGACCTTATTGTGTATGTCAGGGGTCCTCAAACTACGACCCACGGGCCACATGCAAATATAAATATTGTATTTGTTCCCGTTTTGTTTTTTCACTTCAAAATTAGATATGTGCAGTGTGCATAGGAATTTGTTCATAGTGTTTTTTAAAACTATAGTCCAGCCCTCCAACGGTCTGAGGGACAGTGAACTGGCCCCCTGTTTAAAAAGTTTGAGGACCCCTGGTCTATGTCCATGGGCTATGCATATATGTATATACTGGAGGTCCGATGCACACAATTCATGCAAGAATAGGCTTTCCTGCCCTAACCGGTTTGGCTCAGTGGATGGAGCATCGGCCTGCAAACTGAAGGGTCCCGGGTTCAATTCCGGTCAAGGGCATGTACCTTGGTTGCTGGCACATCCCCAGTAGGGAGTGGGAGTGTGCAGGAAGCAGCTGATCGATGTTTCTAACTCTCTATCCCTCTCCCTTCCTCTCTGTAAAAAATCAATAAAATATATATATATATATATATATATATATATATATATATATATATATTTAAAAAAAAAGAATAGGCCTTCCTTCCCCTGGCTGCCAACACCGGCTTCCCTCCAGCCATTGGCAGGCAGCCAGGGCCTGGGTTTCCCTCACAGCCCCGGCTTCATCTGCAAGACAGAAGGATGTCTGGTATAATTAGCATATTATCCTTTTATTATTACAGATTATTATAGATATTCTTTTTAAAAAAATATTTATATTGCTTTTGAGAGCGAAAGTGAAGAGAGAGAGATGAAAGCATCAATGATGGGAGAGAGTCACTGATTAGCTGCATAGTGGATGCCCCCCCCCCCCCCTGCGCCAGTGGGAATTCAGCTGGCAAACCAGGCTTGTGCCCTGACCAGGAATTGAACCTTGACCTCCTGGTTCCTAAGTTGAGGCTCAACCACTGAGCCATACCAGCTGGAATATAATTATTTTTTAAAATCTCGCATGAGGATATTTTCCTATTGATTTTTAAGAGAGAGTGGAAGAGACAGGGAAAGACAGAGAAATACGGATGTGAGGGCGGAAAAAAAAAAAAAAGGACACATATGTAATACCCTTTGTTATACTTTAAGCCATAAAATAAAGAAAAGAAAAGAAAAGAAATACGGGTGTGAGAGAAACACATGGATTGGTTGTCTCCTCCACGAGCCCCCACGTGGGCCTGGATCAGGGAGGAGCCTACAACGTAGGTACCTGCCCTTGACCAGAATTAAGGCGGGATCCCTCCCGTCACAGGCCGACGCTATACCCACTGAGCCGGCGTTCCCATGGAAACGAATCCCTCCGCTTGTGATTGGTCCTTTACGCTCTTCAGTCCCGCCCCACCCACGCCGCCGCTCCGGTGTCGTTTCCGCCCAGCTCCTAGGTGACGCATGCGCAGAGAGACCCAGCCGCCGCGGATATATCAGCCGGAACACAGGCACTTCCTGGTAGATGCCGCTGGCGCCGTTGGTGCGCGTGGTCTTTGCAGCTGCTCGCGTCACTCGGATCCTGGGCTCCGCGAGCTGCACGAGCCGAGCCCGCTCGCGGGCCAGTCATCATGTCGCGCTACGGGCGGTACCGAGAAGGTCAGAGGGTGAGGCCTGCGAGGCCGTGGGGCTGGCGCGGCGGTTGGGAGACGGTACTTCCGCGTACGTCAGGGCGGCCTGGGCGCGCACCGTACGAAGCCGGAGGCGGAGCGGGCGGGATGTTGAGGGTAGTCGGGGAGGGTGGGTGTCGGTCTGGGTCAAGTTCCAGGTTAATCCCAGGGCACTTCCGGTCTCGCGCCCCGACCCCAGGCAGGCGCCCGGCCCCTGCTTGACCGTTGCCCTGGGAACCGCCGGGCGTCCCCCGCCCTCGGCTGCCATTTTGCGCGCAATCACGAGCGCGCCCGTAGGCGTGTCTCCCGGCCGCTTTCCCGCCACTTTAGCGGAGAGTCTGGTCGCAGCCGGGAGGTGACGGGTGAATCAGACCCCGGACACCACCGGCGGCTCCGAGCCACGCGTTCCCGTCCTGCGGCCGGGCCGAGCCGCGGGGCGGAAGCGGGGACGCGCCTTTTCCGCCCGGCGGCCGGCTGGCTTCTCTCCCTTCTCTCGCGGCTCTTTCGGGCGCGGGATAGGACCGGGGCGGGCGCCCGGGGCAGTTGCCGCGGAGGCGGGGAGCCGGCGCAGCCCTGCTCTTCCGGGTCCGGTCCCCCGGGCGGGCCCGCCGCTGCCTCCCGCCGCCCGGGTCCGCCCGCTCCCAGCCCCGAGGCTGCCGGGACTGCCTCCTGCGCGGACTGTCCCGCTCCATCTGCTCCCGTGTTTTCTGAGGCGTTTCCCCACCGTATGAAAGGGTGTCCCCAAGTTCACGCAAGAAGTCATTTTGATAGAAAACACAGGTTTATCATTAAAAATTGTAATTTTTTTGTTGATTCATTAAGGATACAGTATCAGGCAGTTATGGTGAACCTCTGACACACGTGTCAGAGGGGACACACGGACTCATTTTTTTTGGTTGATTTTTCTTTGTTAAATGGCATTTAAATATATAAAATAAATATCAAAAATATAAGTCTTTGTTTTGCTGTGGTTGCAAAGATCAAAAAATTTCTATATGTGACACAGCACCAGAGTTAAGTTAGGATTTTTCCAAGTGCTGACACACTGAGCTCAAAAGGTTCGCCATGACTGGCCTAGGGTTATGTATGGAATAGCATGTCGGGTAAATGGCCTCCACAGCTTTGCTGGCACATACGCACTCTTTTGTTGATGTTTTCCAGGACCGTTTTTTTGCATTAAATGTGGCTGAATTTCGTTGATAAAGCGCTCAGTTTCCTCCTTGGGTGGTCCTGGGCTTGTTGGCATAAACCTTAGACTTCAAAAAACCCCAAAGGAAAAAGTCCAATTGCGTTAAATCTCAGGATCTGGGAGGTCAATTCTGATCACCAAAACGGGGAAATTCCACTACCAGGAAATGACTCATGCAGGAATTGAATTGTTTCTCGGGCGTATGTGCCAGCAAAGCCGTGGAGGCCATTTACCCGATGTTCTATTCCATAAGATATTCTATTGCATACATGACCCTATACTGTATACTTTATGAATCAATAAAAAACTTACAATTTTTAATTATAAACCTGTGCTTTCTATCAAAATTACTTCTTGTGTGAACTTTGGGACACCCTTTAGAATGTGAAGAACTGCGTCGTACGCCCAGCTCTTGAGAAATGTGCCGACTCTGCTGGCTGTAGGACCACGTTCGGGTCCCGAGAAGAGCACAAAACAATGTTTGGCACGGTCTCAAGGGCGTGCAAAGAATTCGTTCAAACTTGGGTCACGTTTTGCCTGATGAGTGTTCTTCTGTTTGCATTTTTAAACAGAAACTAAGGTGTATGTTGGTAACCTGGCAACTGGTGCTGGCAAAGGAGAGTTAGAAAGGGCTTTCAGTTACTATGGCCCCTTAACAACTGTGTGGATTGCAAGAAATCCTCCGGGATTTGCCTTTGTGGGGTTCGAGGACCCGAGAGATGCAGAAGATGCAGTTCGAGGCCTGGATGGCAAGTAAGTCAGATGCCAGCTGCGGAACGGGTTCACGAGGGTAGTCTGCTGGGCTGGGTGACGAGGGCGCTAAGCTTGGGCTCTGTTGCAGCGGTTCTCGGCCTGTGGGTCGCGAACAATGAAACTCCATCCTGCATATCAGACCTTTACATTAGGATCCATCACAGTAGCGACATGACAGTGATGAAGTAGCCACGAAAATAATTTTATGGCTGGGGGTCAGCACAACATGAGGAACTGTATGAAAGGGTCGCAGCATCAGGAAGGTTGAGAACCACTGGTCTAGAGGAAAATGTAAATAGCTAATCATTTTATTTGCTTACGAAAGGGAGCGGAGGTGGCCTTCAAAGGGCTACAGAGATAGCTGAAGCCTGTGAAAACAGGGATGGAAAGTTCCAGATCCAGAGGTGGTATGTATTTTTTTTAGCATTAGAATTTTGTTGCTTCTCTTTTGCAGGGTGATTTGTGATTCCCGAGTGAGGGTTGAACTATCAACAGGCATGCCTCGGAGATCTTATTTGGATAGACCACCTGCCCGACATCCCTTTGATCCAAATGATAGATGCTATGAGTGTGGTGAGAAGGGACATTATGCTTATTATTGTCATCGCTTTAGCCGACGAAGAAGAAGCAGGTACTTATCTTAAGGGAATGGTTGCTGTACTGGTTCATGAAGTAATTCTTTTATTAGCAAGGCAGAAACTAATATTTTTATATAAATTTGAATGTTAATTGTACAGGTGTATTTTTACAGTTTTTGTTCAATTAAACAAATGTTAATATATTAATCATCAACCTGGTCAGAACCTTGCAGGTTTCTTTGTTTGAGTCAGTCGCCTTGATTCAGAATGTCACGAGCTTTATGACATGCTGAGGCGCCTTGCAACTCGGACAATTAAGATCCTCCTAGACCAGTGGTAGCGAACCTTTTGAGCTCGGCGTGTCAGCATTTGGAAAAACCCTCACTTAACTCTGGTGCCGTGTCACATATAGAAATGTTTTGATATTTGCAACCATAGTAAAACAAAGACTTATATTTTTGATATTTATTTTATATATTTAAATGCCATTTAACAAAGAAAAATCAACCAAAAAAATGAGTTCGAGTGTCACCTCTGACACGTGTGTCATAGGTTCACCATCACTGTCCTACCCCTTGAGGTGATCAGTGTAAGAGGCCAGATCCCCTCGAGTCATCGACACCTAGCTTCACCTTATTCTTTAAAGGGCAGAAAATTTGAGTCGGTGATCACCGTAACAGTAATTTGGCTTACAATTGGGGCCCCCTCCAGTTTAGAACGAGGAACACCAGATTGACCACGTTTCCAACTAGAAAAATCTTCTTGCGTCAATCAAGCCTCACCTGGCTCATTTGGCTGTCGGTTTGATCGTCGTTAGATTGAAGAAAACATCTAGATGCAGCGATCGGCTGTAGATACTTCTATATCGTCTAGATCTACTACTAGACCATGGGCCAAAGAAGGTCGACCTGCAGACTTGCAAGGTTTATTTTAAATACACATTACAGTGTTTGATATTATGTAATTCTAAGATGTAATTCAGCCTTTAACAAATCTTTTTTTAGGTAGTTAAAAAAAAAACTGGACAACTAATAGGCCCAGAATTTATTTCCAAATGAGATAGTAAATTTAAGTAGTTTTGAGACTTGATTTCAGCAGAGGGACAGACACTATAAATACGAGTTGCCATCTAACATTTTGTTACTTTCCCAACTTGAGAAATAGGTCACGGTCTAGGTCACATTCGAGATCCAGAGGTAGACGATATTCTCGCTCACGGAGCAGGAGCAGGAGCAGGGGAAGGAGGTGAGAGATCTTTAATGCACGTTTTAACGAGCAATAAAAAATACTTAAACTGGAGATGGACCTAAACCTCTTTGATTTAATTTTTAGGTCGAGATCGGCATCTCCTCGACGATCAAGATCTGTGTCCCTTCGTAGATCACGCTCCGCCTCCCCCCGACGGTCTGGGTCTGGTTCTGTAAAAGGATCGAGGTATTTCCAGTACATACCATCCCCCGCTTATTTGTGTTTGGGTTGTCACGTCTTAATGACAAAAGAGAGTGTCTTAAGGACATAATTTGGCATAATGGGGTGAATTTGAGACCTTAGAAAGGTGTTAGGGAAATAGTAGTGTACATATGGGTAAGCATGGCCTGTTTAGCCAGACACTGAAACACTGAAATTTAGAAGGTAGAAATCAAACTAAGAACTTCACGTCTTTTTGCTCCCTTTGTAGAAGACCTGTAAAGGTGATAGGAATGAATGAAGTATAGAAAATAAGGCGCTGGCGGTACTGTAGATGATGGATGAGTCTCCTGAGTAGGAAATGCCATTGGGAGATACTGTGTTAGAAATCTTTAAACGCAGAGATTTTAAGATAAAATCAAATCATATCAGTCTTAAATGAAAACCATTTACTTTCTCTTGGATACTTACCTAACAATCTAGCTCATTGGGTATGGTAGAAGCAAATAATTAAAATGGTAGTTCCTTATTTATTTGATACTAGACCTTGTTGAAAATGTGGCAACTTGTTGAATCTTAGACTGATACAAGGCAAGAGTGGCATCTTGCTCAGTTTAAGCTTCTGTTCCGAGCCTGCCTAATGAGGTGCTCAGAAGGTGTGTAAGGAAATTACTAGTGTGGACTAATTGGGATAATTTTTGTTTTTAAGATCACGGTCAAGGTCAAGATCAAGATCCAGGTCTATTTCACGACCAAGAAGCAGGTAAGGGTGAAAAGCTGAACAATGCTCTCGTTCTATGGCACCAATATCCACAGAGTTCAAAGTGTTCTGCGTTATCGAGGCTTCAGGTGCCAACTCTAAGCCGAGGTGTTGAGTGGGAACTCGGTACCTTGTTAATGAACTGAACGTTAGAACTTCATTTGTACGTGGCCTCTTCTGGATGATGTCCTGGACGAGGGAATGTCAGGGTGCAGTCAGAAAGCAGTTTGTAACCTTGGTGTTAGAGGCCCCTGTTAGAACCTGTAGGTGCATGGAGAAGCATTCTGAGATAGGTGAGCTTTAGGCAGATCAATCATGATAAAAGCAGTTCATTTTATGAAGGCGAGTTGGAAGATGGGCTTTTGTTAGCAAAAGCTGATGGGCATTTTTTCCCCCAGTTTAATTGCAGCCTGATATTTTAATTTCAGGACAATTTGGGGGTTCATTTCATGATATTGTGACTGTAAGAAAGGGATTGGTTAGTACTTTTTCTTAATAGAATTTCTCGTGTTTTGACAGCCGATCAAAGTCCAGATCTCCATCTCCAAAAAAGAAGGTAAGCTAAATAATTTGTTGCCAAATTTTAACAGTCAAATGTGGCCTCTGCAGAATTTGTTTGCTTCCTGCCTACTTTGCAGGCTTTGATTTTGAGCTCGTTGGAGAATTGGTGCTGTATGTATAAATACTAAGTTTCTTAAAGGATTGCTTTTCCTGCTTCATTATCACCTTATACTTTCATTGGAAATATTTAGTCATAAAATGTTAGAATGACAATCAAGATGTGTTTAGTCCTGTGAACCCTTAATTGTATAATTTCATAAGACACATGCTTTCCCCACACATAGGTAAAAAGGAAATGAAGAAAAATTTGTAGGTTGAAATCTTGAAGGTAAACTATTATCTGTCTAGTTCAGTGATGGCAAACCTGTGACACGCGTGTCAGAGGTGACACGCGAACTCATTTCGGTGACACGCACCGACAGAGACAAAAAATAGCATAATTCAAATATTTGTCTCTCGCAGCGGCCAGGGTTGGGCATCACTCGGGGAATATTTTTATTCACGTTACTCATGATCAATGATGCAATTCTAAAACCGGATGTAAACATGTCCAGGGGTGTTGCGTAGCAAAGATACATAGTGAAAACTTCCAAGACACATTGTTCCAATATTGACATTAATATAAAAAGGTTAAGAATTGCACTATAAAGAGATTAATCTTTACTCATGACATTTTATTTTTACTCGAGTGACAAAATGCCCAATTCTGGAAACGGCCTCGTTATTGTCAGCATGTGCCTCGGGTGAGCTGCCCGTGCCTTCGGGTGCATTCGGCAAACGGACGCACTTGATCACCATGTTCGTTAGGAGACAGGGTGGGAGGGTTAGAAGAAAAAGATATACAGTGCAACAGGGCTCGACGAGACATTCTGCGTGTGGGATAATTGATTACAGCACCATATATTTGTTGGTTATACATACTATCTTTGAATTGTTTTGCACCAGGAGTCAGTGCAACAGCACTGCAAAAAGTTAATAGGTAAGAAACCTATCAACCTTTTATAAAAAACACCATGACTTATATTTATTTATTTTTGCAGCCTTGTGATGGAGAATCAAAAATAAAAAAGCAAGATTGAATGATAAAGGAAGTGGAGGTAGCTGTAGCCGACCCTTTCAAGACATATGGACCGAGATGTACGGGATTGTCGACAGAAAACAGATCATTGTGTGTACTGTGTAATGAGACGGTAGTAAGCAGAACGTGGAATGTAGAGACATTTTGAAACTAATCATTGTCAGCTCTTGAAAAAAAGTATTGATGAAAGGAAGGAATACATTTCTAGGCAGCTACACCCCTATAAAAGTCAATCAGATTCCATCATTACATTTGTAAGACACTCTACAAATTTAACATCAGCAAGTTACTGTATTGCTCACTCCATAGCTCAGCATGGAAAAGCCCTCAGTGACAGAGAATTTATTAAGGAAACATTTCTAAGATGTGCACCAGCTCTATTTCACGATATGAAAAATAAAGATGATATTATTAAAAGAATTTCTGAGTTACCACTCAGTAGAAATACTATCAAAGACAGAATAATAGGTCTTAACAAAAACGTACAACATCAATGAAAAAAAGACTTAAATAGTTGTAAATATGTTTCTGTTTCTCTTGATGAAACTACTGATGTCACATCACATGCTCGGTTGGGCATCATTGCTAGACACTCTGACGGTCTCACAATGAGAAGAGTTGTATGTGTGTCCTCATTGTGGGAAGTCCTTCAGAGAACACCAGAGCGTTCACCCTGGATAGAAGCCGTTGGAGTGTACTGATTGCGGGGAGGCCTTCCGTTTAAGGCCCACCCTCATTCAATACCACAGAGTTCCCACTAGCGAATAGCCGTGCGAGTGCAGAGAATGTGGGAAGTCCTTCCGTCAAAGGTCTTGCTTCAGTAAACACCTCAGAATTCACATCGGTGAAAAGCGTTTAAGTAGTTTCTGTCAGAAACGCTTTGGGGGCAGGAATCATCCCCGTAGCCGCAAGAGACTTTAGAGTAGAGAAATGCCATGTGACTAGTGATTGTGGGGAGTCTTTCAGCCAAAGATCGAAACTCATGGAAAACCCCGGGGGTCACACCAGGGAAAGCATTCAATGTGCCAGGAACGCTGCATTTTTTCTCACTTAGAATGACACGCTGAAGGAGACGCTTGGCGTCGCATTTACCGGAATGTAAATCCCTTGCAGTGGAACGTCCGCTGCTGGATTCCTCCTCAGTGTCGGGTACAAGTGAAACCTGACGTACAAGGGCACTAGCTACCATGCCCAGACCGACTACCTCACTGACTTCCGGCTGAGTGTGTGTGGTGGGAGAGTTTCACCTCTTAGCACCCGGCCCGCCAGAGGAGCGTGCTTCCGCCGCCACCCCTGGGCGCTCAGGGGAAGGCGTTCTGCGTTCTCCCTTGTGCGTGAGAGAATCATGAACACTCTGAGCTCTTGGCAGGGTCTTCATGCCTTTACCTCTGACCAGGGAATGGACCTGACCCAGGGTCCATCCAGGGCTCCCGTCCTCAGCTAAGAAGGCCTACCTCCTTCAGGGACATGGCGGTTCTCACAGTACGGTGTGCTGAGTTCCTTCGGGTTCTGATTCACCAACCTGCAGACTCCTTGCTCTCCTCTGTTCCGGTTTATGATACTTCGTAAGGGTGTTTTTTTTATTTTCTACCTTTAATTCTATTTATCTATTTTTGGTAAATCCCTGGGATGATTGGAGAGGAAAGTTGCGAACAGATATGGTGGGTCCCAAACTCTCTGTGCTTTGGAAGGCACGTAACAATCGCAGATCACTCCTTGTCCAATATTGGCCGATTTTGTATTGCTGCCCAAGGCCTTGAGGGAAAGTGTGCCTGGCTTTGTGGTGCGGATTTGCAGTCTGGTGCCTCTGTTATCGCCGCGGGCATGCGTCGCCCAGGAGAGGAGTTCCCTGTGTGCTTCTGGGAACAATACGAATTATATTTGCCATTCCCAGTGCATCCGACATAATCCTCAGCCGTGTTCAGGGAAATGCTTCCCCACACACTGTAGGGGAGCCGTGTGCCGTGATGTACGGTTCATAGGCTGGTGCCATTTGTTACAAGACTCTGAGGGCACCCTGGCCGGTGTTGCTCAGTGGTTAGAGCATCAGCCTGCGGACTGAAGGGTCCTGGGTTCAATTCCGGTCAAGGGCATGGACCTTGGTTGCGGGCACATCCCCAGTGGGGGGTGTGCAGGAGGCAGCTGATCGATGTTTCTCATGTTTCTCGATGTTTCTAACTCTCTATCCTTCTCCCTTCCTCTCTTTAAAAAATCAATAAAATGTATTTTTTAAAAAAAAAAAAAACACTCTGGTGGAACTACAATTGGGCCAGAAACCCTCTGTTCATAGTGAGTGGGAAATACTGCAGTGAGTTAGGTGAATAGCGCCTCTTCTGAACGTGACCCGCGAATGTGCCGGGGCCTGTGGGCTGTGTGGTCTTTGTGCGGGGCTATTCTCAGGACATCCCTTGACTGTTTCCTGCAGCTGAAGTCATTTTTAGGGGAAAAAATTCTAAAGATTTGTGTCCTCTTCTGGCCTCTCTAGGGTGTGTGTGCACCTCAAGGTGTGGTCAACAGGCCAGACCTCAAAGCTAGAGGAAGAGTAAGCCTGTAGTCAGTGCCAAGATGCGGCATCTGTGACCCAGTCAGCACTCCTGTTGATTCCGATGGCCACAGTCTTCCCTGCTTGCCAGTGTTTGCTGCCACTGGGGCAAGGCTGGTGCTCAGGAAATTAGAGGAGAAATGGTAGAGCCCATATAGCGTTTCCATTTTAGTTTTCCAACAAGACAGGGATAGCTGGGCCTTCATTTGGAAATATTTTTAAGTCTTTCTTTAGGTAGAGTTATAGCTGACATGCAACAAAGTGCAGTTTTCTCGCGTGTACTATTTGGTGAGCTGGATGGATGGCTAAAGCTGTAAAACCAGCACATGTGAAAGAAGCATTTCCCACTTACCTACAGCTTAGGGCCAAAGTAGACTTACCCAGGTGAGTATGCAAAACACAGAATTTATTCTCTTTTAATTTTTTAAAAAATATATTTTATTGATTTCTTACAGGGAGGAAGGGAGAGGGATAGAGAGTTAGAAACATCGATGAGAGAGAAACATCGATCAGCTGCCTCCTGCACTCCCCCTACTGGGGATGAGCCCGCAACCAAGGTACATGCCCTTGACCAGAATCGAACCCGGGACCCTTCAGTCCGCAGGCCGACGCTCTATCCACTGAGCCACACCGGTCAGGGCTATTATCTCTTTTTTAAAAAATATATTTAGCCCTGGCCAGTTGGCCTCAGTAGACAGAGTGTCAGCCTGTGGACTGAACGGTCCCAGGTTCGATTCTGGTCAAGGGTACGTGCCCAGGTTGCATACTCAATCAGCAATGGGGGGCAGGCAGGACACAGCCGATCAATGATTCTCTCTCATCATTGATATTTCTATCTCTCTTCCTCTCCCTTTCTAAAATCAATAAAAATATTAAAAATATATATATATTTAAAATGTTTAAAAACATTTTTATTGACTTCTCAGAAACAGGAAGGGAGAGAGAGAAATGGTGATATCAGTAAGAAACATCGAACTGCTGCCTGCTGCACGCCACCTACAGGGCATCCAGGCAGGCGTGTGCCCTGAGCTGGACTGGAACCCGTGACCTTCAGAGCAAGGGATGGTGCCCACCCCGCCTCGGATCACTGGCAGCGGGCAGTTTCTGCTTGTATTTTTATTTTTTAATTATTGTATTAATTTCCATGCCAACAGCTCTACACCTGCTTTGCCACACCCTGTATTTATCCCCTCCCGCCCTTTCATAATTCCTCTCTCTGCCTTCCCTGGCCCTTCATGCATTGATTTTCCTTCCTTTGCAAGATGAGTTCATATCTTTCACAGTTTTATAGTCACTGGAAGGTGTGTAGTCTTTCACAAATACTGGCCTCCTTCAGCTTCACAGTTACTTTGAGATTCAACCACTAATGCTTACGTGAATAATTATATTTTATTGCTGAGGACTCTGATGTTCTGTGGGTAACCACTTTATCCATTGATCTGTCTGTGGCTTTTGTTGCTTCCATGTTTGGGGCATTAAAAATAAATGCTGGGAATATTGCATTCAGTGCATTCCATAGATGTACGTTTTACTCATCTGACTGTTGCAATATAGGTGAGTCTTTTACTGTTTATGATAAACAGAACTGTGACCTAAAATCGTCTTTCCGCCCTAACCGGTTTGGCTCCGTGGGTAGAGCGTCGGCCTGCGGACTCAAGGGTCCCAGGTTCGGTTGAGGGCATGTACCTCGATAGCGGGCACATCCCCAGTTGGGGGTGTTCAGGAGGCAGCTGATGGATGTTTCTCATCGATGTTTCTAACTCTCTATCCCTCTCCCTTCCTCTCTGCAAAAAATCAATAAAATATATATATTTTTAAAAAATCGTCTTTCCCTTTGCCTTCCCAGTCATCAACAATAATGACAATTCTACTTTTTCCACAGCCCTGCCAGCACACGGGTTGCATACTATTTTTAAATTGTAGACCCGGAAATGAGTATAGTGTTAGCTTGTTTTGTTTTAAATCCATTTCACTAGGAATTTTTTTATGGTGAGTGTTTCCTCATACATTTATTTACTAATACGCTGACCTTACCTCCTTTGTTGAAATGTATGGTCAAAACCTTTTGCCAATTTTTAGAATGAATTTATTATTTTAGTCAAGAGGAGGTAAGTGCAGCAACTAAGACATATATATTCACTCATTCCTCAACGACTCAGCTGACTCCTTTGCAATTTGGCACTATATGATTTGAATGTAGGACGCAAAATTATTTTTCACAGATTGTGTCCTAAGTGCAATTTACTAGCAAATCCCAGTTGTACGATACACTTATCAGCTCATCTGCGTTGCTAACGTTCTTCTCTGTTCTAAGTCTTCGCATCCAATAGTACATTAAGTGAAGTCGAGGTCTGTAGTACTTGTCAGGTTTATTTCCCTCTCATCATTGCCAGTTTGAAACTGCCAAAATAATGGCATTGAACATGGGCCTGCTAAGATATTTTCAGTAGCAAATCATATTTTATTTCCAATGTGTAGATACAGTCGCAACAAATTTGCTCAATAGCATTCATAATAAAATCCTATATAATAAGGAGCTAATATGCTAATTAGACCAGCCTGTGGGACGACCTTCCGGAACGACCCGGGGACAGGACCACAAGGGATCAATTTTGTGCACCGGGCCTCTAGTGTAAAATAATTAAGTGGCACGTTTTAAACATTTTTTTTAGAACATACATTCAGCCCCGACTGGTGTGGCTCAGTGGATAGAGCGTCGGCCTGCGGACTGAAGAGTCCCAGGTTTGATTCCGGTCAAGGGCATGTACCTGGGTTGCGGGCACCTTCCCAGTAGGGGGTGTGCAGGAGGCAGCTGATGGATGTTTCTCTCTCATTGATGTTTCTAATT